TCATCGGAAATGATCGAGAGTACAATCTGCCTTTCCAAGATGGGCAGATCGTAAGTTTTTTAAATCACTTTACAAGCATCGGAAGACTAAGGTTTTGCGATGGTTGTACAGTGTATGGCCACCTTAAGTTGCCTTGTAGGGAATCCGGCCGTACATTTACAGGTGATCGCGGCGATGTCACCGCAATCACTTGTAAAATCTGTGCAGCCTGTTCGTCCTCCCCCCCTCACTTACCTCTGGTTCCGGCCGCCGAGTCTCTCCTCACTTGCCGTCGATGTGGGGAGCAGAGCGGCAGGGTTAAAAATAACCCTGCCGGTCCATGTAGACTGTAGACAGTGAGAGGGGAGAGCTGTGCTGTGCTAGAACTCCTGTATTGGAGGTGACGGGGTCAATAAAGAGAACCTGTCACCTCCAAATGCTATAGCACAGGGGATTGTTAGCTAGAAAAAAAAAAAGAAGAAATAATAATTAAATAAAAATAAATAAAAAGGTGATTAAAAAGAAAAACATAATAAGAAATAAAATATTAAAAAATAAGAAAATAACTATAAAAAATAAACAACAATAAGATTAAAAAAAATTTAAAAAGTAAACGATAAGCTAAAAATGTCAAAAAGTAAAAAAATTAATTAAATTAAAAAGTGATAAAAAAGAAAGAAACAATAAAAATAAATAAAACTAACCCTGCCGCCCCTGCCATCCGGTTGCCATTCTCCGTTGATGGGGGGGTGCGGGGAGGGGGGCGCATAGCAGAACCTGGCCTTGGGGCGACAGGGATAGTAAATCCGGCCCTGCTTCTAAGACGATTGTATGGAGGAGATAGTGGCAGCTGTCTGTTCAGCCAGTCTTGTGATCCTGCTGGACATCAAAGCTGAGTTTTCAGCTACCTAAGAAGGTGGATTGAGGGGCTCAGATGACTGATTCATATTATTACCAGGGACACAGCCAACCACTTTCCTTAATGGGTGTTACTACATCTCTTGCCCAGTGCTGGCTCAGCCACCAAAGGAGCAGGCTGGCATGTTGTCACCAGCGACATCACACTTAAAACTGAACTTAGGGATCAGCAAATATTGTCCCCATACAAGACTCGTGTGTATTCTTGTTGACTGTTGGTGAGCTTTGTGTATATCTTCCAGATCTGTGCTGAAATCCAGTGTGAGACTTGGAGCTTCCTGTAATAAAGACCGCTCACTGCTGCTCTCTCTCCTTGTGCAGGGTGACTGATCTTGTGTCCGCCCCCTTCTGTAATATAGACCGGTCACTGCTGTTCTCTCTCCTTGTGCAGGGTGACTGATCTTGTCTCCGCCCCTCCTGTTATAAAGACCGGTCACTGCTGCTCTCTCTAATGTACAGGGTGACTGGTCTTGTCTCCGCCCCCTCCTGTAATATAGACCGGTCACTGCTGTTCTCTCTCCTTATGCAGGGTGACTGATCTTGTCTCCGCCCCTCCTGTTATAAAGACCGGTCACTGCTGCTCTCTCTAATGTACAGGGTGATTGGTCTTGTCTCCGCCCCCTCCTGTTATAAAGACCGGTCACTGCTGCTCTCTCTAATGTGCAGGGTGATTGGTCTTGTCTCCGCCCCCTCCTGT